AGGTCGTGAAATGTTTTCCGCGTTGGATCGTGTAGCACCATTTGGATGTGATCTGAGATTGCTGGAACGTAATGACCTTTGGCCTTGCTTCGACTATAAAGAGCAAGTTGTAGGATGCATTGCATTGCATTGCATTGCATGCATGCGGAGGGGCATCGATGAGAGGGGGTGCCAAGCTACATGCGTCATTTTATCAGCTGTTTCGTGCATGTATGTCTCCCACCCCTTTTCTTTCATTACTTTCACTCCGATCGCTGAGGGTCTTATCCCGTTTTTTTGTGTGGATCAGCTAGAGTCGCGGATGGTGTAATTAAATCAGAAGACCTCTATCAGCTCGAGGCCAGTGTCTTACTTGGCCAGTGTTCACGGCAATCTAGGACAAAGCAACAAAACTTAACAAAACGGTTTGTAGGGTCATTCTGAGCAAACATAGGGCGACCCGACCGTCATGGCACATTTATGTATACGGTTTGGAAAAAAACTAGAGTCCCAATAAATCCTAGCTAAACATTGAGTAGACACGAATGCCAAACATTGCATTTTAATGGTCTGTTGCAGAGCGCAATTTTGACCTAACCTAGGACGAACCGTGCTGTGGTTTTGCACAATGCATCGACAGCATTTGTTGATCGATTCTGGCGACTTAAGATTCTCCGGTTTACTTATGTCGCAGCTATAGCATAAAATTCGTGTCGTCCATCCCGATGGCTGGTTAGGGCGCCTGCCTTTCTATCCACCTTCCTGTGGCGGAATGGAATAGAGTCACTCAAGGCGCTCGCTATCAAGTGAAGCTTTTACCGCACACGTCTGCCGTTGACCTGGGATAGCGCGATCGGATGGTAGGGGTCATGACTCACACAGCAAGGAATACTTAGCGTGAGCTCTGCTCCCAGAAATCCATCCAATAAAAAGCTCTGATGAAATCTTTAAAAAACCAAGCGGTGCCAAACGTCCCCTCCCCTCCTTTCACTCAACGTCAGATTAAAACGAATTCGTGAGATTAACAAAACTTTAGTTTGGGCTAAGTGGCATGGAAAACTTTTTCTGTACCACTACCCAAGAACAGGTAACCAGGAGTGCGCCTCCCTCTATCCCAGCGATACCGTAAACCGTACGTTAACACCAGAAAACATAAAATCAAGCCACGATACTCCCAGCTAGGAAGGAGAACAAACATAAAGAAGCAGGCGAAGAGGTGGCGCAGACCTGGCAGGAACTGTGTAATGCAATAGGCGAGGACAAATCATACATGAGAAGGCTGAAAGTAGTCATAGCCAAAATCAGCTAATGACAGCCCGCTAGAACCATCCAACATGGTATAATCACTCATTCAGAGTGTTAGTAATGGCTGTATAGTCACACAAGTCGGAGCGGCTGTTACCTGGTCATGTCATGCTGGGTTCTGAGCTGGATGTCCAGGGAGTCCACCCAGCTAAGCCTGTTGCTGGGAGAGCTCCCGGACCGGTGTGTGGGATTGACGTATTTGTCTTGGGCGGCCAAGGCAGCGGCCCGCTTCAGAGCTTGAAGTACTGGACCAGATGGACGCTCAGCTGCTCACCTGGTGGCGAGTTGGGTATGCCCCGGTGCATACCCAACTTCCAGACTTCCAGGCAGCGGGATGGTGCTGGTGCCGGCGGGCGGCCAGATTGCAAACCGGCAACATGATGTTTCTGTCGAATTCAGTCGCACCCAAGAGCTGAACCACCAAACACTGCCATCCGATCATTGCTACTACAAAACAGGAAAGGTGAAGCCACTGAAATCATCTCAGGTTTGAAAGCAGGGAGGGGACGTACAAACACAGGAAGTTTCCAGATAAAGTACCAAAGACCGCCATTGTGCTGCTTGTTGTAATCTTGCCGACGCTGCACTAGTTTTCTCATTTTCTTGCCGGACGAAAACACCCGTGATGCAATCACGCAGCTTTGGAGACGCTTACCAGCTGAACAGAAAGATGCGATATTGGTGGTCTATGTCCACAGTCTGAACTCGCACATCTGGTGCTGTCGGGGAATGCTCGCTAATGATAATGATGCCCGAGATTTGTAGGCACATTATCATCATAGGCTATTTGGTGTCGACATCAGAAAGTTTTAACTGCGTCTACCATTCAGCGGTCGTCACTGAACTGACATCAAAACAAAGCGAGCAACAATCGTCATGCCCTTTCAAAGACACGTGAACCCGAGAAACGCGCAGAGTCGAGGTCACTAGGGTAAACAGCTGGTGCGATTTGAACGTCACTCAACCCGGACAGGCCGCCCCTGATCTGAGTCACACATGAAGCCGAACGACGTCGAGTGGCCCACGCCCTCTCCCGTCTCTCCAGACACGGCCGACCTTGGGTTCTCAAACCTCGCTCCTCCACTGTCCTGTTAGGCAATAAGGAGGGTCGCAGTCATCTACACATACCATAACACCGACCAAAAAAACATCAGGGGACGGAGCGCAGCGAATTCCTTCTGCGAGCTCTTCGGTGCTCGCAGAAGTGCTCGTCGTCCGTCGGTGCTCAATTGAATTCCGCACAGTTCTCAAATTTCGTTCTCAGCATGCCGCACTCGCAGTGGTGTGTGGGGGGCCCGAGGAGCCGTGCGAAATAGCACCGGCCACGCCACGAGAAGCCGAGCGCACCAGGAATCCACGCATCAGAGGCTGAAACATTGCTGGCTCCCATTGTTGGTGAGTACCGCATAACAAAGCTCAGTAGTCGAAGCTGGAGTGCCACGCTCATCTGCGGTGGTCGTGCTGCGAACCTGCACGCCCACGTTACGAAGAGATAGTGTGGAGCCCGACGCAAGGTGACCTTATATTGCAACATGCGATCTCACGTGCTGAAGCACCATCCGAGGCGTACTTCCCCGCTTCCGTAATCACTTTGCACAGGAAGGCATCTGCGTTTGCAAGTGCTGCAGTAAGCGCAGCTGCAGTCAGCGCGTCACTGCCCAGTTTCGCGCGAATGTTTTTGCGGCGATCGCAGCGCGACATCGCCGAGACTGTCGCCGCGACTGCCGCACCACTGCCGTTGCGATACGCGTTGCTGTCCGATGCTATCCACAATATCGACAGTGCGCTCTACAACACCGTACTTTTCTGCCAGTTCCAGCTACTAACACGTTGCATTACGAGACGAGCGCAGGCACTGCACGGGACATCGGCTGCATAGGTCATGGAACATGCCGCATACCGGAACAGCGTTCCAGCCCCCGAGGCCATTAGCGCTGGAGTTGAGAATTCGGATTCACATGGGTAAGCAAATTGGGATAGGCTTGAACTTTCCGACTCCTTCTCTTCTAAAAACGAAGATTCACACATTGAAAACAAGGATTTGAATCCTTAAGTCACAACGAATCCCGAAAGCCAGGCCTCAAATAAGTAGTTAACGTATCAAATTCCATCTGAGTAGATAAGCAAAATAAAACAAGCACCCCTTAGTTTTGTACGAACAGTTGCTGTCCTCCTTGCTTACACCATAGTGGTTCGAGATTTTGATACAAGGACTTAAATCTCTTCAAATCTGCTTTAAACTAAAATCCGAATCCGAAACCAAATTGACCTACCCAGATACGTAACTTTGTACACTTTCGCAGGGACGGATAGCCCCTCCCCGCCAATGCTGACATGAGTCCCCTCAATGCTCTTCTGAGTCCTCCCCATTCAGGAATATTGGGCCAGTAAAATGCAGCCAGTATCTAACCTACTGATGCACTAGGTGCCTAAAGACATCACCATCATTATTATCATCATCATGTATCACCATTGTCATCATTACGTCGGCTTTAAATAGTATGGCATTCTTGAACATCAAAACAATTTGGGCACGACCAAATAGTTTTCTCATTATATTTGTTTCAATATTGGGGACGTAAATCAAAGAGATCAAAACCAGGGAAAATCCGGATTTCTGGGGAGGCTAGGTTAACTTGCTTGGGTCAGCGCCGAACTTGTTTTAGAAAATGAACTGCGCTATGATTCGAATATTAAATGTTGCGAATCCTCAGCTCCAATTGGGGCGCCTCCGGCTACAGTCCAGCCCCTCTGCGAGGCGTCCCCGATGCTTCCCCGCTACACCAAAGGCCCGCGCATCGGCGCGCGGAGCCGACGCAGTCCGGCCCGCGCCGACGGCGGGCCGCCCTCGCGTCGGCTCCAGTCGGCTCGGCCCCGCGTCGGCGTCGGCAGGCGGCGGGCACGCCCTCGCGTCGGCTCCAGTCGGCTCGGCCCCGCGTCGGCGTCGGCAGGCGGCGGGCCGCCCTCGCGTCGGCTCCAGTCGGCTCGGCCCCGCGTCGGCGTCGGCAGGCGGCGGGCCGCCCTCGCGTCGGCTCCAGTCGGCTCGGCCCCGCGTCGGCGTCGGCAGGCGGCGGGCACGCTCTCGCGTCGGCTCCAGTCGGCTCGGCCCCGCGTCGGCGTCGGCAGGCGGCGGGCACGCCCTCGCGTCGGCTCCAGTCGGCTCGGCCCCGCGTCGGCGTCGGCAGGCGGCGGGCCGCCTCGCGTCGGCTCCAGTCGGCTCGGCCCCGCGTCGGCGTCGGCAGGCGGCGGGCCGCCCTCGCGTCGGCTCCAGTCGGCTCGGCCCCGCGTCGGCGTCGGCAGGCGGCGGGCCGCCCTCGTCGGCTCCAGTCGGCTCGGCCCGCGTCGGCGTCGGCAGGCGGCGGGCACGCTCTCGCGTCGGCTCCAGTCGGCTCGGCCCCGCGTCGGCGTCGGCAGGCGGCGGGCACGCCTCCTCGCGTCGGCTCCAGTCGGCTCGGCCCCGCGTCGGCGTCGGCAGGCGGCGGGCACGCTCTCGCGTCGGCTCCAGTCGGCTCGGCCCGCGTCGGCGTCGGCAGGCGGCGGGCCGCCCTCGCGTCGGCTCCAGTCGGCTCGGCCCCGCGTCGGCGTCGGTCAGGCGGCGGGCCGCCCTCGCGTCGGCTCCAGTCGGCTCGGCCCCGCGTCGGCGTCGGCAGCGGCGGGCACGCTCTCGCGTCGGCGACGCCGCCCGGGGCCCGGACCATAAAGGGCGGCGCCGGCAGCCGGCGGCCAGTCGGCGGATGGACCTGACGGAGGGGGGCGCCGTAGCCCGACCGCGCTCGCGCCGCTCCGGCATGGAACGCTGTCTGCTGGTGCTGACGCTGGTGCTGCTCAGCTCCAGCGTCGCCCTGGTGCTGGCGCTGACGCAGGTGGTCAAGGGGCCGGCGGTCGAGACGCCGCCGACACCCTCGCAAGCGACGCCCAACGACTCGGCCTCGACGGCTGGTGACCGACATGCCCGCTTCGCGTACTCCGACAGGGTAAGCCGGCGTGTCGACTGGGGTCAGACAGGGTGACGGCGGGTCAAGTGGGGTCAGACAGGGTGACGGCGGGTCAAGCGGGGTCAGACAGGGTAACGATGGGGGGCTGGCCGACTCTGCCATCGCCAGCATACAATGAGGCGAGTTGTGAGCTGGCTGAGTACTAACAGGACCGTTATCCGACTAGGATACGTCGAGGCCATGCATGGGGTCACGGGGGGGGGGGGGGGCTGTCCAGTCGAGATGCAGCCATAGCGTCAGCCATGGGTCAGGCGATGTCAGTCTGATAGATGACTGGCGAGGTGATGCTCCTATCAAGACGAAGCGTACAAGTGTGTACGTACGTCATGTGCGCGCAGACGACAAGTGAGGTGAAATGGGGAGGGGTGTAAGCAGTAATCTGCATTGAGGGGGGTCACCTCAAAAGTTTTCTCTGAAAGCCTGGGTTAGGGAGGGGAGGGGGACAACGTGCTTACGTACCTGAATACAGGGTAACATCGGATCGACCGATGTTCGATCGGGCAACTGGCAGTGCTGTCCGTTGGCCATTGTCCGAGCTGCCTGCTCCAGTTTTGTCACGTAGCTCGCCAACAGAGTGGCATACAGTGTAAGATGGGCCCAGTAAAATGGGCCCAGGCCCGTCAAATACCCAGTGTCCCCGTGTTTCATGATACCCGTCTGTTATGGCCAATAACATGGCTATCTCCCAAGCCAGTGAAAATGCACTAAGCTGGGAGACTACACATATGCCGAGTTACGAGCTTTTTGGGTTATTGCCGATCTCATGCCGAAATGAAACGAATCCACAGAAATAAGTTTTATTGCACACTATCACGCTCTGCCATCGAGGCTTTGCATTTATATTGCATCTTATGAATTGCAAATAGATTTGCTCCCGTTGGACCGCTGCTGCCTTTATGAGTTCCTGTCATTAAAAGCGTGTCATTTTAAATGTTCCGTGCGCATTTCAACCGACTCACAATGATTTCCAGCAGCGCCATTTCTTTGTAACCTGAGCACGCAGATCACGGAAGAGCCCTCGCGAGTCGCCAAGCCATCGCTCTATCATGACCTTAGCATAGCTAGAGCCTTACCCAGACGGGACCGATCCAGGCCGGGACGACCTTTGCTGAGGTCCGGCTGCAGCCGCACCGGTGATCCCGTCTGGACAGTCCCCGGATCACCACCGGTCTAGACCGGCTCGCCGGACGCTGGTGCGGTGGCCGAGCTCCGAAGGCCCCGCAGCGGGCGCCGCTCGTCCCAAAGCTCTCGCAACAGCCGGCAATCGATGTGGCTGGGGAACAACATCGCTCACGTGGCGCGGTGGAGGTGTATGCGGTGCGGCGGAGTCGGCTGAGTGTGACTGGAGACTGGAACAAACGTCACTGACCAGAGCTCGGATAAGTGGATCCGTTCGCGAAATGCATTGGCGTGGTGCCTTTGGGGCTGGTGCCGTCCGGACTCCGCACATGCCTCGGCGGAGCGGGCTGTCACTGTGAGCTGCCCGCGAAAAATAACATCAAAACAGGCTGGACGCAAGCAACTCTTCTGTTTAGGTTGTGTTCCAATACCTTTAAATTCGTTCACGCATCTGCTAGATAGACTGACATGACACTGTGCAAACCAAGTCAGCGTGTGCTCTATTGCACGATGAAATGTGCATACAAGTGTGCGTTCGAAATGTAATAATGCCGAAATGAGCTAACTAATGTACTAACAAAGCTGATCGCACTTTTGCATTCTTTTGATCCCATGGTGTTCTTACGACTATAATAGAATAATTATTGGTTTTTACTATCATCCGTCACTTTAAGATAACTAATTAAACTTAATGCGAAGTAACTTACGTAAGTTGCTAAATGTATGAGCGAGAAACCTTATGTATATAAATAAGACAGTAGTAATAGCATTTTTCTTTGTACAAAAATCAGGAGAATGGAGAGATAGATGCGTTATATAGACAGAGACAGATGCGAAGTAAAATCGATCTTTGACATGCCAATGACTGTCTTTTAGTTTGCAACAAATCAACAGTTCAAAACAAAACAAAAAATCAAAAGCAGTTTATGCTCAAATCCAGCACACAAGGCGTGAAGACTTTCAGCTTCTGGTCATTTTCTAGTCAGTATTGTTGAAGTAAAATTAGAATGCGTTACATGAACCTGGCCTTCGTAAATTTTCGCGTAGAATTCAACTTGTGGGGTCTGATAGTATAACGGCCGAGAGCGATAACTGCAGCGGGACTGGCTGAATTTGGGTACGATGCATGGTTTCGTGAGCCATGGCGGATTGTGGCGGTCGCTCCTGGTGATCTGTTATCGAGTGAGGGGTTGTTACGAAAAACAGCAGTCAACACGCGCTCGTGCGGTCGGTCAATTTGCCCCCCCCCCCCCGAAGGTTCTCCAGAATTGCTTTGAACAGCGTACCCGCAGCAAAATTCGTATAGCTGTAAGCAGATGAAAAGCCGTTCTTTGTTTAAAAAGCTGGATGTTCTTTAGGGGTGTTGCCTATATTAGATCAATGCCAACCCATGACTCAGCGAAGGCAATTCCCACTTAACCGTTTAATCCGATACGACGGCGGAATTTTAGACAAAGTCATACAGCTTTGAAATGGTTTCTTAAACATTAGGACGATGCAAATTAGAGTTACGACTGAGAACGATTTCCATTGACATCTGGTCAGTTATAAAGATCAGATTTAACTAAAACATAAACCCCCAATTATTGGGCAATTTTTGCGTAGTTTTTTTAAAGCACATTTTGAGTTTGCTGATCACAGGGACGTCAACGAACATTTGATTTTGGCTACATGCAGGTCGGTGGAGATAAATAACTTAAAGTAACACCGATCAAGCTTTTTCTTTGCTTTGAGGAACGTGCCGCCTACTTTAGCTCTTCGACGCTTCTTGCAAGCTAAAATTAAAAAAAGATGTCAGGGCGCTTTGACTATCTTGACCTTCTATAAGTCAGATAAACTCACTGACATGATACCAACACCATTCACCCCCTGCTTACAAAATGTTTCTAGGTCTAAGTTATTTGCACGAGATCTGAAAGTACACAGTTTGATCTTGTTCAATCTGTTTTGACCCAAAGGTCACGACCGAGGGAGGAAAGTTTACCTCCCTCCACCCGACCGCGTCGCATGCGACCGACCACCCAGGCGCGTTTTAAACAAGAAAGGCATGTGACAGTGGATGGTGAAGAAGAGATGCAACAGTACAACGCTTTTCCTGGAACGTTTCAAGGTTATGTTATTATCCCCATGACCTCTGATGTAAATATCTACCATGCTATGGTCACTGACTGATAACCGCGTTCTCAAAGACCTGCACACTGCAATCGTCGAAAATTAGTGCTTCGCGACGCGTTCTTAGCTCTGTGTGTACCTGACCGTTTTGTATCATGATTCTAAGGGCTATAAAAGTGTAAAATGCTCATGTAATGAACACCATTGATACGCCTGATGAAGATGATCTCACCAAATACATGGTCAAGTTAGGTCATACAGTGCAACTGGCATCTTATTGAAGCACGATACCATAGCATCATGAACCAAATAACCTAGACGTATCGAGGTGATGAAGAACCATTTGGTATCAGGGTCACGTAAGACCCCGTCTTGACGCGGTCTCTGAGACCCAGAAAATCAAATTTAATTTTCATGGACAAGTGGGTATGCTACACTACACCACTAGCATCGCTTAATATGATAATCTTACGTGCAAGGTGTCCAAGGTCATTGCCAAGGATGAGCACAGCATGACCTTATAACTCACATCGTTCCTTAGATAAGAATGAAGGAACGTCATAACTCGTACTAGCCTTATTGGAGGGCACACAAATCGCCTCATACGAACGGACTGATGGAGACTCCGCCTGGTTCATTAAAAGCTGTAGACAACTTTTGTGCTGCCGTCTCGTTTTTTCCGAGTATCTCAAACGTGGAATTGGTAGAAGTCGTGCTCTCACTGCAACGATCGCCCCTATAGCCCTGCAGAAGCTGGCGAAACAGGCCAGACCGAGGGTACCTAGCTTGATTCACACAATCTGGAAAGCTGATGCTCATAGACGCGAAACATCGTCCTTCACCACTTTACATAGCATCATGCCGTCATGAAAACATTCATATTACATTCGCCATTCACGCCTCCATGAAAAAACCCTTATTTAACCAACTACAGTGTTAGCGAATGAAAAATATGAGTAACGTATGTAGTGACTGTCGAGGAGGAATATGCTTTGTAATTCGAAGATGACGAAGGCTTTTACATGAGGTGGATTAGGCTGTGAACAAAACTGACAGATCTATCATGATGTGTTTTTTTTTCCTACAGCAGATATGCCGACACTTGTAGAGGGCACATTTACGCAATTCGTATGTCAGTGCGTCATAAAGAAAAAATGGAGCATAGGGAAGAACACCATGGAGCATGAGTCGAGCAACCATGAAGTAATTAGATGTAACTGCTCATTTTTTCAAATGCGTCAAGTGGCGCAAACAAACTGGTGCTGGTTTGCCATTGCACGCCATGACAATTATTTGAAGCGATGCTAGAGTTGGAGAGATCGGAGGCGCTCTGCCTGGATGCGACAAAGCCGGAAGACATTTTGCTGCCTCCGTTGTTCTTCGCTCTGTTTTGTCGGCGACCTAGTTGTTAAAATCAAAACGAACTGCCTGCTCTGCGTTCAAGGCGTAAGGCCAGGTCACAGCACTTCAGCACTGTAGTACGTCAGCTTATTGCAGGGAGATCTCAAACGGCTTTGTCAGTGGTCGTCAGGTTTATAACCAAACTAATTGTTTGTCTGGTGCAAAATGTTCACAATAACCCTGACGCGAGATTACATTCCGGAGTACGAACTTCAGACAGAATAAAATGAACGTGAATTGTATAATGCAGGTTATCAGGTGGAGCGGTCAGCAAATGAAAACAAAATGCCAGTCGTCTTAATTGTCAAAAAATATATCAGCCTTATACCTGTCGAAAGGAAAAAAAC